TACCAAAAACCTATCTGTGAATGGCTGTAGAGAACTTTTGTCTTGATGCTTTTCAATAATTAACACGCTGCTAAAGCGACAGTCCCAGCAACGGATGCAGAGAGACTGCTTCCCAGCTCGAGAGCCCATGCGTTGTGCCCACGCGCACCTGGACGCACACTCACCCTGGGGCTGATACTGCGGTGCAAGTACCAGCTTGCTACTGGGCCCGTTCTACAGCAGAAGGAACAAAATGGACATCATTCACCGGACAAGTGCTATTAAGGCAGCTGCAATACTCAGCCCACATACTCAGCACAGCTCAGTCTCTCATATCCAGTGCCATCAGTCAAAACACCAAGAGTTCGAAATTTAGAATCGGTCCCAGCTGCCTGCAGAGTTTCGGGCAACTCCCTCAGCTCCCGCCTCTCCCCCGAGATAGGGTAATTACCCCGCCCTGCTTCACGGAAGGAGGAGAGTATTGATTAAACTCTGCAGCACAGGATGAAGTATCTACTCCAAAGTCCTTCCACTTGACAAAGGAGGAGTAAGTAAAAACTGCCAGGGAATCCATTATTCAATCTCTTCTCAAGCCAGAAACAGCAAATAACGACTGGCCCCCGTGGTGGTGCATCTCCCCCCTTCCCCTGGGCCACTCCACGATCTCAGGACTCCTGCCAGGCCTTGGCGTAACGAGTTGGGCGGCTGAGCGTCCCTCGACCGCCCCAGGCACTCCTGCATGGCTAAGGCGGGGAGCGGCACTGACCGCACCAGGGACACCGGCTACCTGATCAAGGCAGGGAACAAGAGCGGGGGCCAATTCGTCATCTCTGACAGCCCTGAAGCATTCCCTACCTGCGGAACGATACCATGGTTACCATGGAACAACACCATAATTACCACCCCGGACCACCTCGCATAGCGGCCAAGATGGAAATTTACTGATGACTAAAGCCAATCATCTGGCAAACCTACCAACAGCGGTCCCAAGCGAGACCCTTTGAGCTCTCCCGGACCGCAGTGGGCTGCGCCCAGCACCTCCCTCTGTGTGGGACGCCTCGCGGAGCTCACGAACTCTCGAGTCTGCGATATTCGGAGGACCGTCAGAACCTGGGCTGAAACACTCCTCAGCCGAGACACTCCTTGGGGCTCAACCCTTCGCCTGTTGGGAAATGCCAAGGCATTTAATGTGAGTATTTCACGAGACTCGAGGGGAATTTTTAACAGGTATACCTTTATAAATTTATCTAGCTTTAGGCCTTTATAAACTTATCTAGCTTTGGTACCATATTCATATATATGAATTGATCTAGATCTTTTGTGTATGTGTGTTTGTGTGTATTGACTTAGATAATCAATTATAAGCACAATCTCTAGTTAAGTTGCTTTAGTAGTTGTAGTAAACTTGACTACCTCACTTTGTAACTGCCAAATTGGCTGATGATTAAGTGTTATTAGAACCTTATGATCTACCTCAAAACTGTGAATGAACTTTAAATTGCTGCTAAACACATATAATCCCTTAGGCATAAACCGTTGCCCAAGTCTGAGACTAGGGGTAGATCCAGCCGCACCTAGACTCCTCTCTGAGAAGGAGTTTAGAAAGCAAGGGGAACCTGGGCTGAAACACTCCTCAGCCGAGACACTCCTTGGGGCTCAACCCTTCGCCCGTTGAGAAACGCCAAGGCATTTAACCTGAGTATTTCACAGACGCGAGGGGAATTTTTACCGGGTATCTTTATCTAGCTATAGGCCTTCGTCTTTCATGAATTAACGTAGCTATGGGCCCTTGTGTGTGAATAGATCTATATTGTGTGTGTCTGTGTATTGATTTAGATGACTAACAACAAGCATAATCTGTAATTTAGAAATTGTAGTAAACTTGATAACTTGCTTTGTAACTGTTAAATGAGTCAATGATTAAGTACTGTTAAAATCTTATGATCTACCTTAAAACTGCGAATGAACTTTAGGTCGCTGCTAAACATATCTAACCCCTTAGGCATAAAGCGTTGACCAGGTCTGAGACGAGGGGTAGGTCCAGCCGCACCTAGACTCCTCTCTGAGAGGAGTTTGGAAAGCAAGGGGGTCTGCTCTGAACCTCGTGACCCAACGGGAGGGTCCTCCTTACCCTTTTGCTCTTGGTTTTTCTGTAAATCATTCCAGCATAATTCTGACACGATTTTCCCCCTAACCCCTTAGGCATAAAGCGTTGACCAGGTCTGAGACGAGGGGTAGGTCCAGCCGCACCTAGACTCCTCTCTGAGAGGAGTTTGGAAAGCAAGGGGGTCTGCTCTGAACCTCGTGACCCAACGGGAGGGTCCTCCTTACCCTTTTGCTCTTGGTTTTTCTGTAAATCATTCCAGCATAATTCTGACACGATTTTCCCCGTGTATACTTAATCCATGTAATAGAGTGAACCTTGCCATCGAATTCTGTTAAGTCGCGCTTTTACAAATTTCTATTAAAATCACCTTTTGCTGATACCTTTGCCAGTGATTCTTTAAGCGGCCCTAAAAAACACTCATTTGCGACAAATTGGCGTAGTCGGCAGGATCCTAAATCAGTATTTTGCAACAGCCCCCATTTTATCCTGGAAAGAATTTTACATGTACGTACACTCCTAATTAACAGAAGGCTACCAGCTACTTGGAAAAACTGCTGATTTGACATATATATACACACACAAAAAAAATATAAATGAATGATACAGGAGCCCTCAAAGTCTTAATCTGCAGAGTCCTCTTCTGCTTTTGCACACAAAATGAATGTTACTTTCTTCTGATGTGCAAGTGTTGGTGTAGATTGTTCCCTCACTGATTTTCCAAGGAGCTGCATTAACTGAATTACTGCGGTGGACATGTCTGGGTTAGCTACTTCCCCGTACCAGTACGCGTGGCAACACTGTTCTTCACATCAGGAAAGCCAGCACACAAATTCTAAGCATGCTGTACGAAAATTCTAGTTTTAGGCTGCTGCTGTTTTATTTATTCTGTAGGCAGGACTGTAAGTGTAACACAGAGACAAACTATTGATTTCCTCAGTATAAAACCATGGATTTAAAGTCATACAGGAACTCAAGGGCCTCAAATTTGATCATCCACAACACACAGCCTACAGCAGTTTCTTAACTCGGTAAAACTGCACTTTAACTGGAGCCCATATTTTAGACTCTGTTTTGATCTTACAGATAATTGTAGCGTACCTCCTGCATCAACCTACAGTATGTGACTCAGAGGAAAGTTAAATTTCCTGATGTCTTTATTAAGAACAAATAAAACCCACTGCAAACCAAGAGGCTGAAGGAGGGAGGGAATCCTTCCTAACACTTTTCACTATTTTTACCTCTGAACAGTGAGGACCGACATTCTCTGTGACACACTTGTCAACATAATAGTGCTGATTGCTTTATGAATAAAAATGTTTCATTGTTTTCTTTCCTCCATACCCACACATTTATTGAACATTTATCAGCCTCAACAACAGGGAATTCTACAAGACGATGATGTGGAACATAAGAAACATTTATCTTTTAAACCTACTCCTTAATACTTCCAAGTATTTCTTCCGTGTTCAGGACAGGTCTTTAGTATGTCATTATTTTAGAAACTGCTACCATTTCTCTTCTTAAGATCTCTTAAGCAGAGGATCTCTTTCCTTTCCCAAACTGAATCAGGGTAGTCTCCATAATCCCTCTTCATGACTGCTCTCTCCCACCTTTCTAGTGCTTCTAATCATTTCTGTTACCCTTCACTGAAATGAAGTATCCAAAACTCAGTATTAAATTCACAGTAAGGCGAGTCCATCAATTTATACAATGACATGATAATATTTTCTAACTGATTCCCTTTCTAAATATACGCTAAGTGTTGTATTTGGGTTTTGGAGGCCCATTGCATATTAAGTAGATGCCTTTATTAAGATGTTATGTATGACGTGTAGATCCTTCTCCCAAGAGGTTACAAGTAATTCAGAATCCAATAATGCATACAAGTCATTTTAAATTGCCCCTTCTACTTTAATTACCTTGCAAGTTAATTCCATGTTCCAGCTACAGCATGCTGTCCGGCAACCTAGCTCTTTTCAGTCCTGCAGAAATGCACCTGACAATCACTCACAATGTTCATTAATTAATTCAGAGCCTTTCTAGAAAGTAATGTTGACATCTTATCCACTTCTCTTCCAGGTTATTGCTAAACGTACTAAATACAACTAGGTCTACTGTTAATCTTCATTTTATTTTGATATTTTGTGTACTTATTTTTAATTTTTATTTATTTTTTGCTATTTTGTCTTTCCATTCCAGAAGCAGCTGTTTATTGGTCATGGACCTGATGACTGTTAATTCATGGCAGAATTTTGCCACCTACCCTGCGATTTTCAAGCTCCCTTAGTCTTCAGACTAAGTAAGAGACTTTGTTTGACAATTTTGATTGAATAGGCAGGTTATGCACAATTATGCCCTTGTTTTGTGTTTATTCATGTAAGGGGTTTTTTTAGAAAAATTATTTTAAGGATAAGGATAATTCAGATAGGCAATCTTGCCCTTGCAACAGGCACAAAGGTCAAACATAAGTAAAATCTGAAACCACAAACAAAAGCTTTGTTTATTAAACTTTTATACATTTACCTTGGCTTTCCGCTAGAATCTAAGTACACATGTGCTGCAAGGAGCAACTTGGAAAGATAACGAATTGTGTGCCTTTGCCTTTGCTAAGGACAACTCTGTCATAACAACATTAACGTGGCTCTTAAATTGTAAACATATTTTTTAAAAATCCTATTCATTCTGATGGGTGTCTCTTCCTACATGTTCCTAGTAAAGCTCGTTGGCTTCTTTGCTTTTTTGTGGGGGTTTTTGGTATTTGTTTTTTTTTTTTTTTTCAATGGCAGATGCACTTGGCAATATCTGTGACCTTGAGTTGTACACATGAGCAAGCAAGAGAGCCCAGTCCTGCAAGGCTGTTTATGCATTCTGAGAGAGCTCCTTCTGAGAGGGGTGTCTCAAGGAAGGCAGAAGCATGATGTGCATACCAAGCCAAGTGCTTCATGGTTTATTTATAGGGAAAAGGGGCATAAAAATTTGCTGAAGGGGAAAGAAAAATGAAGAATCTGACTTACCTTGTCGGTGTAGACGAAGAACAGAATCACAACAGTGAGCTCCAACAGAAATATAATTAACAGCATGATAAAAAACTGTCAAGAGAAGAAGGGATGGGGGAAAATACAAAAAGCAAAAACCATCAACATCTATTTCAGCTTTTTCTGGATGCACAATAAGTACATTCAGCAGATCATGCAGAATGGGGAGTGGGAGTCACACAGGCAGCAAGATGCAAAGCTGCTGTGTTACAGCAGAACAGAAGGCACGCGACATGCAGCAACTGAAAAAGCAAGTAAAGGACTAGTCAGGAAACACAACAGTATCCGGGCACATGTATGGCTCATTTATATCACTGATTTCAGTAGAACAGCATAAATCCCCACAAAGATCTGTCCCCCCGGGCAGGCCAGTGCTCTATTTGACAGCAACCCTTGAGGGCTCTTCCCAGGCTAGGTTTTCTTTTTTTTTCTTCCCCCATCAGATCTTTCCGACGAACAAGGTATCAGCGAAATCCACAGCTTAGACTTCCCATTGCAAGAGAAGGTAGCCTGGTCCACAAACCATAAAGTCATAGCTCCTTTCAACTGGAATTGTGGGAGAAGTGAAAGGCACACCAAAAAGCTTGTACACCAGGTTAGCTTTACAAGCAGTTTCACGTAGCTACACAAATCACCCACCGGCTTCAACTGATTTGTACTGAAGACATCAAAGCAAAGTCGGTCCATCTCTTTTTCCCCTCATAAGCCATGGAACTGTCTAAACCCCAGTAGTCAAAAGCTCAAAGGAGTGGGTAAAAAAAACTTTTAACACAGGGATTTCAGATAGATTCTCTAAAGCCTGATTCTCTGACTGACTTCAGCAACAGGAACTATTGGCAATGCCAAACACTGCTGATAAACCATACCCCCTGCTTTCCGTTAAGATGCTGGACGGGTCTGCAGCACAGGTCTGCAGCAGCGTCAACACAGCGGTTGCACGGACTTTAAAACAAGCGCTATCAGAGCATTAAATGAAACTGAGTTTTGCAAAGATGAGTAAAGGAGAGAGAGCCATTTTGGAAACTTTTTAGGCTCAGGCAAAGGTCCTGCTCCCTGTAACACAAAATCCATACACTTAGCAGCCTGCAAGGCTGGAATTCTAATACTGAGCAACAGTGATTTAACTGAAATCCTATCCCCAAGAGAAAAAAAACAGTTACCGTCTCTTCAGCTTCAACCACAAGTCTGCAAACCTACGAAAGTTTAATAGCTACCAAGCCTTATCAGAGTTTCTTCACTGCCTGGTAAGTCAAAAGCAAACCTTTGAACCTCTGGATTTCTGTGATTAAATGGAGGGCAAAAGGTCAAGAAGGGGAAAATACCTTTCTCCACTAGTACAATTACACTGTCTACAGAAGTCACTGCATTTTGCCCTGCGAGTCTTAAATTAAAGTTTATTTTCAAATCTTCATCACTTGTATCTTCACACCTGCCCGACCCTAATACTGGATCCTATTACTGCCCAGTTTTGAATCACAGAACTCATTCACGCTCGTGATCCAAGCTGATTTCCATATCATTACCATCCAACACTGACCTTCTGTACGGCTTTGCAAACCAGCCTTGGTACAGCTTGCTTATTTTTTACATTTATGATCTTAGTTTGCTGCATAGCATTAATTGAAACAGGACAAACCACAATGCTCTTTGCAAAGATGCACAGACACTTTGCTATATTCTATTTGCCTGTGGCTACTTTTTTGCTCATCCATAAAGCATGGCTTTTCCAAAAAAGCGCGTGCGAACACCACTGTCTCCCTGTGAAATTCACTGGCATAGCCTGGATTACATTAGGCAATTTCTAGAACAAAGGAAGGACTCATACCCATTACAAACAGTGATCAGCGTTTCCTACTGCAGGACCCCAATTTCATCAGCTTACAATTTTGCCAAACCTTAATTGTCTATGCTTATATATTCTGAGCCTGTTTCTGTCTAAAGGATAAAAGCTTTTGGAAGAACGTCAAAAATAGCACTTCGATTACTTCTAAGAGTGAAGCAGGGCAAAGTATGTTATTCTGCCCAGGTTAAATTTCTGGTGGCTTAATCTGAAATGCTCTCATGCTCCGGTGTTTAGAGCAGGGACGTGAAACAAAGTGCGGCTCCATTTCAGGCACGTGCCTTTTGTCTCACCCAACTACGAGTGTATTTTTGTGGGAAAGTTATTAGCCTTCAAAAAACTGCATTTCACACATCCAGCAGAGATGAGAGGGTTTAACAGCTAAAACCTTCAAAGTCTACAACCACAAAAAGCCTACTCGCATCCTTCCCGCAGCTCACCTGCGACCAGACAACTCGCAAACCGTCCCACAGAGCACCTTCCCCGCTCCCGCGGCACCCACACACGGTGCAATGCCCTCCTGCCGCCCCCCCGAGCGATGGCCTCCAGCCCCACCGCACAGGACATCACCTGAACAGCGGGTACGGCCAGGAACCGGGGTAAAATTCAGGGACCTGTTTTTCCTGCGCTCTGAAGAAAGCTTTCCTCCCACCTCTGCGCTCACCAGCACAGAGGCAGTACAGACGAAGCCAGGGAATGACTTTGCAGGAGAACGGGGAGCCTGAGGAAGAACGTTTTTTAACAGCAGATGGGGAATGGTTTGGGATACGATCTGGCTACCAGTTTTAGACAAACTGGACCTACTGGCAGCAGCCGCTCGGGGCAGGAGAGGCCAGAGAAAAAGGCAAGGCCCGCGCAGCAGCCGGTGGGTTCCCAGGAGGAGCTCTGCCTTTGAGAGGATGGCGGCCTGCGAGGAGCCCGCGCTGGAGCCGTGGGGAAAAGGAGCAAGAAAGAAGAGTGGCAGAAAGAGGAAAGCACCCCACGCGGACCCCCGTGGCCGAGGGTAATGTGCGGGGAGCGGACTGGAGACTGGCAAGGCGGGGCAAAAGGTGTCTGGAGGGAGCCGAGGTGTTTTCTCAAGCGTGTAATTGATTGTCATTATTTCTCAACACCAGAATCAGTAATTAAAAGTTTATCTTAATTGGCAATAAATTAAGTGAAATTTCATGACTCAAGAGTGTTTTCCCCTGCAATGCCAAGTCATACAACTCTGCTAACACCCCCCATCTTCGGACTGGAGCAGGCAGCGGCGGTCGCCAGCTACGCCGCTGTGCCCAGCCCGCGGGCTGGATCTCCTGGCGAGACCACGATGGTGCTCCTGCCTTCTTCAGTTCATACTAGAGAAGTAGGTATGACATCGCCACCTTAAAAGATGCTAAAATTGTGAAGTCAAGCACTCAAAATTTAGGAAATCTCAGAATAAAAGTTCTCTCAGTGATGGTTACGTACCATGTCTAAGTCTTTCCC